TCCTACCGTAAATATATCAAAACTTAATGTTTGATTAGTAATATGCATTGCTAAGAGCTTCATTTGGACAACTTTAAAGATGATTTTCTCAATATTTAGATTTTTTTGCACCCTCAGATTCCAGATTTTAAAATATTGTCCTATCCTAACAAACCATACATCAATGGAAAGATTATTTATTCAGCTTTTAGCTGATGCATACATCTCAATTTTAAAAAAATGGACCCTTATGACTGGTTTTGTGCTCCAGGGTCACAGATATGGATTAGGTTTATTAGTTGATGTTGAAACTGCATGATCCATATGCATGTACATTTTACATGCAATTCAAATACATCTTAATCCATATTATCCTGAGTGTGTATACATGTTTTTCTCAGTTCTCGGGGACTCGAACCCATGACCTTGTCTGAGCTGCAGAAAAACTTTCTTTGCAGCACTTCTTCCAGCGCTCGGGCTCGGCTCGCGCGGCGTCTCCATCGACAGAGATGCAGCTGTTGCCATGGCGACGCTCAGCACTTCCTCTCTCTCTGTCTCCCGCTCTTCTGCGTTGGCGGGAGCGCGTGGGCGGCACGCATGCACACGGACAGATTTTCACACATGTCTGTGTCTGTGGAGGATGCGCGCCTTGTTATTTTCAATTCCCTTTTCGAGGGCCAAACCTTGTCCAAAATCAAACACGCGCGGAAAACACAAAGTTAACGTGGCGCGTAAAATTGAGGCGGCGGCGACAACAAAAGGTGGTTCAGATCTTCAGCTTTTGTTCCAGTTTGAAAGCCTCGCCAAACAAGCCCGAGACGGTACAATAACTTTAGAGCGGAGAGAAGAAATATTTGCAAACCCATTTTTCACTAAGTTTTCTGCTCTACTTTCCTCAAAGTGTATTGGCACGTTACTACAGACGCTAACTTAAGACACTCTGCATGATTTCCGACTGTCCCAGACGAAAGATTGGCGTCGTGAAACTATCGTGGTGATTTCTGTGATCGTGGCTCCTGTGTCGTACAGTGAGAGAGGTTCAAAGTCCTGCGACCAAAGATAGCCTACGATACAGCGTGATCATCAGTGTGACATGCAGTGATCTTATAGGATTGCTAAAATCGTCTCGCCGTCAAACACAGTTCCTCGGCCTAGGGCTGCTCGCTTGAGGCAAAAATCATAATCACGAATATTTTGGTCAATATTGTAGTCGTGATTATTTAAGACGATTCTTAGTGGGTCATATGACTAAAACGTTATTTGAGTGATTGATTTAAAGATAGCAATAGGCTTTATATCAAATATGCATTCTCTGTAAATAACTATGACATCTACAGCAAAATCTCCCAATTCTCAATACCACAATCTGTATTGTTAAAAGCGCTATATAAATAACGGTGACTTGACCACAGCAGGACGCTATATACAGGGGCGTGTTTAGTGTTTTGGGGCCCCTCAGCTAGTGGTCCCGGGGGGCCCCCCTCGGTGGATTTTGCGATCGATCCCGGTGTAAGGATGGGTATCGTTTACATTTTATCGATACCGATACGATACTGCTTATCGCTACAGTTATCCATACTACTCTCTATAATTTGGTGCAGAAATAAAGATGCGAAAAGATTCAAGTTGAAAATGTCAAGTTATTTTATCACAGCAGTTTACAAATGCCTCCAAGCAAACAGAAAAAGCACATTTTTAAAATAAAAAGGCCCTTCAAAGAGAGAGAGATTTCCTCAGCACACCACAGCACAACATATTTGGGCATCGTGCATAGGAGCACAACAGAACGTAATAGAGAATTCTGGCGTCTCTAATGATTTTTATTAAACGTTGAGTTTCAGACAGAGACTGAGACGGTCATCAGCTTGAGATCGGTTTATGAGAACAGCTTCTAATTCGCCATTAACACAGAAGTACGGAGATAAAACAACACGCGTATCGATAACAGTATTGTTTGTCCTGAAGCTTATCGGTAGTCCGGTACTGACCCAATTACACCCCCGGCTCTTAATGCATTGTGTGTTCTTCTGGAGCACCAGGACATGTTTTCAGCTTTAGTCACAGTTATGCATGAGTCCCTCAGTGTGAAAATATGGATCTCAAAATCATACAGTCACTGCTGGAAAGGGTTCAAATATGCAGAAGATGCTGGAAAACCAAAGAATGTGCAGGAGCTGGAGTTTTTCTGAAGAACAGCAGCTCGGGATTTAAAGCATGTTTAAAAACTCTAATGTTAGGTGGGATTAATCGCGATTCATTTCAGAAAAAAATG